CTGTCACAGCTGCTGACTGACAGCCTCACAACTCCATAACTGTTTTCTTTCTCTAATTGAAATGTCATGATAGCTTGTGTGCTGAATTTATTTCTTGACCGCGGAGTCAATGAAGTTCTCTCAGATTCCACTGGAAACTTTCAGTAACACATTAGCATTAATGGAAAATGTAGACATTTCATTATTTCTTGAAATGATTTCAGCAGCAAAGAGAACAACAAAAACAGATAACACAAAACCAAATTTTATGTTTAAGCTTCATTATACAACAAGGCAAAAAACTTTAAAAAGATGCACCAGAGAAAAATAACTAAATAAAGGAAGATAGGAAATGTAGATACTCAACAAGAGAATCATGATCATAAAAATACGAGTAAAGTCTGTTTGCTGGTTTCTAACTTTGCTGTGGAGAAAAGAAAAAGATGAAAGAAAACTCTCACTTTGTCACTTCTCTCTCTGATGGGTGACATCTCTCCTTTTATCAACTTCTCCGTACAAACTAAAGAAAGAACTAGAGACAAATAGAACAAAAGAGTGAAGAACTATGTGTTTCCTGAAAATAAGGAACACAAGCACAGGTGTACGTTGTGATATCTGTATGTAGTAAAAACTAAGTTGACACTCAAAACTCCACAAAGGAGCTGAGATTGAGACTGTTTGATAAAAATAATAAAAAAAACACAGTACAGTAGATAGTATTAGTCCATACTGAACTGAACTGAACTAAACAAACTGTTCACAACAGACAACTACTGATGCTACACACAGGATGTTTTTTGGGGGGCACCAGCATTATTCTTTTGGTTGTGATTTCAACCAGTCGAAATAAATAAATAAATCTTATTCAGTGGCAAACTGCAACTATCTTTACATTTTCCCACTGTCTTCATAGTTACTGTTTATGCACTTGAGGTTCTTTAAAGTACTGAGATTTGGGTTATGTAAAAAGGTTGTCAGAGAAATCAGAGTTTGATCCCTCAAACATTCTGCTGAGTAATGTTTAGTCACACAAACCTACAGTAGTTGCTTTTGGAGCATAAAAAAGACACATAAGTAGAAATGTCGGGGGAGAAATATGAAACATGAAAAAACTGTGTTCAGTGTTGTGGCTTTCTTTGCAGTGTTATTTCTGTGTTTATATGGTCAATAAGAAAACCACATGAAGCTGTGGTGGACTCTTTCAGGTTCAGGTTTACAGCCATGGCAGCTGGAGGCCTTGCATGGAGAACTTAATCTTTATGTTTGTGTTTAAGTGAGAAAGATAAATAGTGTTTTAGTATCCAGTGTGTTTTGTTTTGTGCTCACAATACAAAATGTGTATGGACCTTAAAGGGTATAAAGGCAGGTGGACTTATCACAGGCACATGCCACTGCAGGGAAAGAAAAACGGGTTGTTCTACTCAACTCCGCAGGGTGCTCCATAAGGGAGGGCCACGGCATAAAATAAAATAAATACAGAAAAACAAGTCTCCATGGAGGAATGTGAAGAATGAGAAAATAGATTGACAATAAAACAGTGATAATAGTTAAATAAAATAGAATTGGCAGTAATGGTTAAGGCAAGCATTTCACAATTGACAATTAGCCACTTGATTAAATTAACAAAATCACTGAAATAGATCCACTGTGAACTTACGCTGAAGAAGGGTGCCTTGCCCAAAACGTCTGTGTGGCAAAATTAAAAAAGTTGAACAGAAGTGCTGTCCTAGTTCTTTGTTCATGAAATTACTAAATTCCCATTGGGCTGAGAATTAAATGGAGAATTACTAGTAGCCTATTTTATTTCATTAAACCCAACTCTCCATTTAAATCAAGATTTTGTGATCACTGATTTGCTGTAACATTTTCCTGTAAATTAAGCTTGTTGAAAGTACAATTATGTACCCCCTTCTGTCAGCCACCATCTTGTACCTTTAAAATTAAACAAAGATCCACAGTTACCACCTAAAGCATCTTTTTCATACACAACAGGTTACTTTTCTGACAAATGTACCTTTGAGTACAGAAATGATACCCCTATTTATCTGTGTGTACCTGGTTTCTGTTTGTGTACAACTCCTGGCTGCTCTCCTCTTTTCTGGCAGTCCCAGGTTGAACTTGCATCATGAGACAATGCTGGCAAGCAGCCGAACACAGCAGCAGCGCATGCAAAACAACACACACACACACACACACACACACACACACACACACACACACACCAAAAAATCCCACCCAGTTTGGCTCAGTACTGCAGGGCAGAGTCTGGCACACAAAGCCAGCCACCCTCAACTCTTCAGTGGCCTGGAGGATCCAACAAGAGAGAAAGTGTGAGCATTTGTGCTAAAGCAAGATGCCTCAAGGTTACCTCTGGGTCGCCGTGTGTTCTGTGTGTGTGTAGGACTGGGAAAGGGGAAACAGCTGCCAGTTGAGTTTACCACAAGTCATTACTGTGCACCGGGGACAGAGGAAATGTAATTTTTACTGACCAACACTTAATAGGACACAGTCAGTGTTCTTAATGCACTGTCCATGACCCTGTCAGGATGTGAATCTTGGGACTCACACACACACACACAGCAGTAATCAACACTTCCACCGCTGCTCTCTCTGCTTCTTGTATGTGGTTATTTTGTTGTTCATACATTCCCACAGGTGAGGCAAAGCTGAACCCACATTCTAAAGGTTTCATTTACACTAGAACATTGGTTGAATATATAACTCCCAAAGTAGACAAATTGTAAAACAAAAAGAAGAGTTTAAAGAGTTGCAAGTCAAAAAACAACCCACTGCATTAGAATGAGACACGGATGCTACAATGTTCAGAAGCCTGAGGTACTGTATGAATATTTTTTTAAATGTAACAAAGTTCTTTAAAAACAGCACTGCACTAACCCGTCATTGAAGGCTCCACTCTGTTGTTTCCTGTATTTTCCTGAAGTGTACAAAAAGTGCTGAATGGGATGATCAAATCTGATGACTTAATGGAAAACTGACATTTGACCTTGTGGATAACTTCTGCATATCAATGCTGATTTATACAATATTGAATTGCACCATCAGTCTCGGTCAATGATGGTTTAAACTCTCTAAAGTTCCAGAGGCAGCAAACACAGACACTGTGGTAATTTTTTATTAGCATGATTAAAATGGATGTGTGTGTGTGTGTGTGTGTATGCATGCGACTGTGTCTAAACCCCCCCCCGATGTGATACGTGCTTGTCACACTTGAATCATGAGTCCGCAGTCATAGAGAAAACAAGATTGTAAGTTGACAATAATTAATGAGGATTTTGGGAGGTCTGGCAGTTCCAAGGATGGCCTTCAAGCACAGTGTGTACATGAAAAACAATCAGAAGTCAAGGGAACAAAAAGCAGGCTGCCAGGCTGCCAATAATAGCTACGACTGAACAATACCTTGCCAAGCACACACACACACACACGTCCACAAACTGGCAGCCACTCATAATAGGAAATCCTAATTACAATGGCTTCCAATGATTATTAAAACTACTAATAATAACTGCTAATAATTACAGCATGCCAAACCTGCCCTGGGAGGGAGGTTGGAGCAATTACACACCCAGTCAGTCAATGACTAGTTCATGCAGTCAGAGCAGGCTGTTTGACAGTCTCTCAAACACAGCATCAGTTTTTTTTTTTACCAGCACGAGGCCACTCAGTCCGCTCATCATTCAGGAAACCTACAAAATTACTGTAGGGTTAGTTATAATCTGAACAAATTACATGTCAATTAAAGCTACATTAAGTGATTGTGACCAGAAGACAGACGTCTCCCAGAAACAGATGATATACTATCAGCTTCTTGGTTTCATAAAGGAGTAATTCCCTTATTTAAGTCCACAAATCCTGTCTTCTTCACCCAGAATACAAACCATTAGCATTTTTCTCATCCTGATACGCTGACCTTTGACTGTGTTTGCACCCACTTCTTCAGAGGGCGGCCTGAAGGTTGCTAAAAGAGCAAAAAAAACGTCTATTTGCAGCCATTATAGGGTTTCAAGCTGGAGAAGTCCTGCACAGTTGGCTCGTCTGAGTTTTGACACTCAACCATAATGTTTAAACCTAAAGCCTCTGAAAGCTGCACAGATCTGTGATCATTGTGGTGAGGATTTCTCAGGAAATCTCATCTAACAGCCAGCACGCTTTTCACTCTTTCAATCAATCACCCAGGCAGTTACAAAAAGCTGTGGAGTAAAAAGTTTATCAGTCAAGTAAACAGTTGTTCAGTCCTTCAACACTCTTTTCCTTTGCTCCATTTCAGTGACGTCTGATCCAGACAGCGAAAGCCTGGAAGTGCACCGCAATGAATGTCTTTAACTCATTTAAGCTCTGCATTAACACAAACAGCAGGACTTAAAAAGCCATTATAATCAGAAACACACAGACACACTTTGTGCATCTATATTGAACACAAGCACAAAACGAACCTTGGCAGTGACTCAGGAGAATTTAATTACTTCCTCTCCCTCTCCCCATTGGCCGAGAGGTCTGGGATATGCTAATTAAGCCTTGACTGATAAAACATTCCCTTGGCCTCTGTGTCTCATTACTTCTAACTTCTGTGATCGCAGCCCCGAGTCCAGCTCCCATAGTGTCTGATAAATAAGAAAGCACCTTAAGCCACAGGCTGTGACTAAATGCTTATTAACTAGAAGGATATGACCTAACAGAGCGATGGCACTGCGCCAGAAAAACTCAAAAAACTTTGTGCTGCAATCAGTGTACCTTATCTTCTTTTTCTAATTGATAATTAGTCTTGCATTAATTTGGGGCCAACATCTATCTCTTATCACAAAGGTACAATTTATCTGCCGCTTAAATGATGGACTAAATTGGGTTGGCAATGTTAATGACTCACCTTGCAGTATGGGGGACATGAGGGAAATAATTTCTCCTGACTCATATTTAATTAACCTTAGCAGATGTGCTGGGCATGCATTGTAGCTTAAAAAAGAAGGACATGTTTAAAACATTTAAAGTATGACATCTTTTCCAAATCCTGTTTTAAAATGAATATTTTAATGCAAAAAACAATGTTATATACATAAATATAAAATGTAGGAAAACAATCATTGTTATTGTTACATCATTATAAAATGAGACTTGTTTTTGGATACAAGCAGTTTAATATAAAAAAGAAGCTATACTTCTAAGACAGAGAGGTTGTTTAGTTGGCTCCTTCATATACTGTATTGGTCTCTGGAAAGAGAGAACCAGGAGTACCAGAACTCTTCATATAGAAGACTCTGGTTAGTACCTTCACCTTGTGCAACTCATACCGTACTGCCAGAAACCAAAGAGCCTTACAGAATGTTTGACGTGTTAACCTTAACCATGCTATGCAAAGTGCCTTAAATGTCTTTTTGTTTTTTTCTTGTCAATTTTTGAAGAAGCAAGTTGAGCAAATTGCTTATTATTGCAACTACACTCAATTTATTTAACGTAAATTGCATATATCAAACCAAATATGCACTCAGTTTGCATCTCTTTCTTACAGTAGCATGGTAACGGCAACCAAACACTCTGTGGCTCCGGTATACCGAACCAACAACACAGACTATCATTAACAAGAAATACATAAAAAATAAATGCTTGTGAAGAGTTACATACATGTGAATTGTGTACTTGTGTCAGAGGAGTAACAATAATACACCTTCATGTAATGTTCACATCTCAATATACTGTAGCTCAGCAAAGCTTCACCAGACACTGACGCAGCATTCAGATACAGTCAAGAAGACATCTTCCATCTTTGAATTCTGCTCATTCTGTCTTAAAGTAGTAGTATAATAATAGTATAATAAATGTAATATGTTTTTTGGAATGTAAAAATTGTCCATGCGACCACAATAGATCATTTTCTCTGGCGCTCCATGTGCACTCTTTAACATACTGTACTCAGGGAACTATGATTATCCAAAGTGATAAAACCAACCTTTTAGAAAAGAATACGAATATTTTTGTTTTTGTATACTGGCTTCACATTCACACTGTCCACCCAGAAGGTCCTGAGAGTAGGGCTGACTCCGAATGCTACGAAGCTTCAAAAATACGATGGGTAGAAACCTGATCCTTTTCCTTTAAAAGTCCAGTGTGTAGGATTTAATGGCATCTAGATGGTGCAGTTGCAGATCTCAATTTTATTGCTTCACCCAAACTACAGTGGCTGCAAAACGCACAAAAAAAGCGAACAACCATATTTAGAATCAGTGTTTGGTTTGTCCCTTCTGGGCTCCTGTAGAAACATGGAGATTCAACATGGCGTACTTCATGGAAGTCGCCCCATGGCATGCGTAGATAGATATAGCTTATTCTAAGGTAACAAAGACACAATGATTCTTATTTTCAGGCGATTATACACCTGAAAATACTAATACCTATCAAAATGATATTCCATTACTGCCAATAGAGCCTCCTAAATGTTACACACTGGACCTGAGGCGAAATGCAAACTGTTATCTGAGGCTCTGGCAACTGTAGTGATGTGCTTGCTTTGGGTCCCTGCCTCATCAACCCCCTCAGAGCGCAAATTTTTCTCATACTGTATGAACTCTGGAGCTGCCCTCTCGCACCTGAAATATAGTGGGTAGTGAGTGCAGGAGAAGGACTCATCCCATGACTGATCCCAGAGCTTCAAATATTTGCTTTGAACCTCAAATATGGTATCCAGGACAGCCCTACCTGGGATTTTAAAACAATATTTTCTGATCATATTGCATATAAGTTGTACTGTTTTCCCCTCCAATCCCAATTTACCATTTATTATTTGACCAACTGTGAGTTTTTGTCACATTTGAGGTAATGCTAGGCACACTATTCACCACTGTGGAGGCTGACTACAGCGTTATCACTGAGAAAATGATCTAAAGGGACGTGAATCAATTTGATGTCGATTCTTTATACTTGACAGATGAGTTAACAGTCTCCTAAAAATGTGCTTCATTGGTGTTCTTCAGTAATACTTTGACAGTTTTGTTTGGAAGTTTGATTTCCATACTGGTGCTGAAAAGTGATAATAGCATGAAAAAGACAAATATTTGTAATATTCCCAAAGTCATTACATTCAGTCAATACAAGCCCACTCCTGTGACCCTCCTCCTACTGCAGATCAACTGCCGCCCAGATTTTTTATGAACTTTCATTCTTTTCTCTCTTTTCTTGTTCTTTGAAAACTCTCTGAATCGAACCATCAAACAAACAAAGGCATTGGGGTCATTGCACTGCATCTGTTCTTAGCACTTCTTCCACCTCCATCCATCCGTACGTTCAGTCTATTATTTATTTAATCCCTCTTTATCAATACACACTCTTCCCTCTTTACGTCCCTTTTCTTCATTACTCCATCCTTGATTGTCTATCTATCCCTCTCTTCTTTTCCTTTCGTCCTTTTGAATTCTTTTAACACACCCTTCTGCCTGCCCGCCTACTTCCCTCTTTTCAATCAATATTCAGATTTGTTAAACAAACAAATAAGATGGATTTGAGACAAAATCTACTGTACATTTTTTTCCATGGGTTTTAGTTAAATTACTCTCAACATTCACTTTAGTGTAATTTCATCCCCTAACAGAAATGCAATTCACCTAATCCTGAAATGTCATATTTTATATTTAATCTCCGTTGAAATTAATACTGCAGAGCTTTGTGGAGTGAAACGCAGAAATGTTAAGCTAGACCCTAACTCTTAGTTACACTTAATTGACGGTTTAGTGAGTGGCTAAATGGATATACACTGTGGTGCAGCACTGAGAAGAGCACTCTGAAGCTCAATTCATGTTTCAACAGGACTTGTGTGCACTTCACTACACAGTGACGCCCACACCATCAGGTCACAGAGATGTGCCATGAACATCCATCACATCCGAATTACAGTACATGGCATACACAGACAGCACGGAGAAAAAGAGGCTGCTAAGTAATACAGAGTGAAAATGAGCTCTGCAACTCATCAGTTAAAGACCTGAAATGTCTTTTCTGCCTGGTTTACCTGCAGTCTGGATATCTGCGAGGCTTAAACAACTCAAAACAACAATGACATTAGTACGAGTACTAGTACAAAATAGGCCATTGTAATGGTTTGACATATTACATGAAAGAGTAGATGTTTAAAAAAACACATACTGCCCAAAAACTTGGAGTTACTCCAAGTGGACGTGAAGGCAGCAGTAAAAAGCTGTAACAGTGTAAAATGAAGTGCTGGAATCATCTTGCTTTGGTGTGTGTATTACCGCAACTGACGTTTCAGTATTTTTACAAAATGGTCATCTTGTTCTTAACGAAGCTTCTTCCAGAATGTCAACGTTTGTAGGTTGATATTGGCATTTTGGTGGAAGTTTAAAAAAAAAAAAAAAACCTCCTTATTTAAAGCAATGTATTATCTCTTAATTTCAAGGCTGATAGAAAACCAAGAAGTGAGTGAAATATCATGCTGGAATGATTCAACAAACACAGGCTGACTCCATGGATTACGTACAGATGATCCAAGGAGCTTTCATACATTCAAGTGGAGGTCGTTTTAAATAAAGTTAACTATTCAAAGAGAAACAGTCCAATAGTAGTAACATGTCCTGAAATTAATATAAATGAATATAGATTTGAGATTCAGTACTTCTACAATCTAATTTGACATGTTGTCATTTTAAAGCAGGAACAGGGTCATTAATAAGTTCCGTAAACTAACAGCCAAGAGTGATTTCAGACTTGCATTATACCTTGGACAAAGAAATTATTTAAACTCTACTGAGAGAAATATTTTCGATAAAAATGAAAGGCAATCATAGCCTTATTAAAAACACATTATTACACATAAAGACAATTCATACAGTGCTCTACTGTGCCTTAGTGCACTTCAATTATTCAAATGTGTCCATAATTCACGGAGAAAGAAATACTGTAGTGAGAGATCAGACTAGGCATGAGTACAAAATCTATATTTTCATAAAGATTGGTATAGTGGCGTACTCCCTGTTAGGCAATTTGAAACAATAGGACTCATAATGCACTTCTTTTAATAACATAACTGTAACTGTCAACCATATTTTAAATGCTGTGTGTTTATTGTCATAGATGCATATACTGTCTTGTACCTGTAGAGTTCTGACGATTTTTTTGATTCAGCAGCCGTTACTAACAAAGCAAAGAATTATATCTTCAGACTAATTTGTTGCTATTCGTACAGGTTGAATACAAACCTTTCAATCATATTATTGTAAACAGCTAAAGTCTCAGACGCTTCCCTGTCTTTAAATTGTCTTTATCGCACAAAAATACTAACACTAAAAAGTGTCATTACATGTTACATAGAGTATTTTATTTTTTGTCTTGTTCGTGGAGTGGCAGCGGTGAAACCACCAGGTACAATATGAACGTGTGTAGAGCTGTATGTATGTCGTTATTGCCTTAATTTAAATGGATCCAATTACCTTTGTGGCTTGGTCTGATTCTTAAAAGAGACGACTTAATCAGAGTATAGTGAAAAGTAAAAACCCTGCTAATTTTATACTCCGGGAAGACTCAAAGCAATTTAAATGACTTCAAACAACAAGACATTATGCATCACGCAGGCCACTCTATAATTAACCTCCTTTACCTTGCTTGTCTGTGTATTACCATATACTTCAAACAGCGTAGACAATGCTCGATAATGATGGTAATTCAAATCACACCATTAAGAGGTTTCAACTCTTTCATTGGAGTACTGAAAGCAGAAGAGCTGCACAACACAAAGCAGTTAACATTCTGCTCATTTTCATCTCTGGACCTGATTTGTCTACACAGCTGCAGTCATTGCATTCTTCTGTCTTGAGTTGGTTTGGTGTTGCTGTTGCTGTCTTCCTCCCTCCCCAGTATAGCCATAACGGTCTGAACTGGGATCCACCAGGTGCCTGTAACCAATCAAACACGTTCTCAGATTTATGCTGAGCATAGTGAATTTTTGTGGTGTTACTTGCACATAGAACACACTGCTTTCTTTTCTAATTACAGAACTCATTTTGTACGACAAAATGCTGTTTCTCTTAAACTAGTAAATTAAGATTGTCACTTGTGTTTCATGTGTTAAAATTAATTGGTAAACAAAGGAAGATTTTGAATCTCAGAATTTACCTGGATTATCTTCATCCACAAATCGGTCCTACCTGTAAGCTCCACCCCCAGTTCCACGCGTCATAGTATCGTACCGTAGTCCACGTAGTGGAGGGGTGGGAGATGGGGGCACATCCTGGCGCAAGGGGCCTCTCTGCTGGGAGCTATAAGAAGAAGAAGTCAACCATTATGACAATCCGAGAAAGGACAGGTGAGGACAGGTGTGCTGTTTCACAATAAAAGGCGAAAAAACCAATGAATGATTTAACAGCAAAATACAAGTTGATTTTATTCATAATAAATTATTATTATTATAAAGTTATGAAATATTCAAGACTTGAGTTTAGAAGTCAGGCCTTACTTTTAGACTACTCATGCTAGAGTATAACCACTGTGTACAGCATTATGGATCATGACATAACGCAACTTGCTTGCTTTTAATTACCTTGGGTGGGGGAAGTACCCAGGGTCAACGCCCCGAGGGTCACCTGGCCGTGCATATGGCTGACCAGGTGGGTAGCTGGAGTAAGACGGGCCAGTCTGGGAGTTGGGGTGAGGGTAGGACGGGGACTGAGGGTACCCCTGTGGGGCCTGGGGAGGTCCGGGGTAATGACCTGACCAGGGCTGCATGGGGTAGTCAGCTGGATCCAACGGACCTCGTCTGGAGGAGAGAATGACACAGTTTTCAAGCTAATGATGGAGTCAGAAGAGAGATTTAAGAAATTTTGCAAAAACATAAATAGTTATATGTTAGTACAAATCCACAACATACGTTGAGTCTTACAGATACTACTTTTATTTTACAGAATATGGCTATATCTACTGTGTGGTCAATGTAAAGAAAGCTATAGGCATTTTGTTATTATTTTCATACAATACTATCTGTGTTAGCAAGATAAACATATGAACTTGTAAAAACAAATCACTGAAATAATGATTTGTCTGCATGACACCACTACACAGATGCAGTTTTAACCTCTTGCTCTGCCTGAAATCACTCAAAATGAAACAAATCATCAACCAACTGCTGGTACCGTGAACATCATGTCAGAGTTTGCTGTTTTTGTTTGGTTTGTGATGCTCTTTTCATGTCTTTTATTGAGAAAATATCAGCAAATTCTGATGCTGCACTTATTGGCAGTTTCTCTGGTAAATCTGTTGACTAAATGGCTAAAATATTCATGAAAACCTGCTGAAAACTATTTGCTTTGGATTAGAGATAAGAAAGAGGGGCAGAGGCACACGAAGCCAACAGCCCATCCCAGCCAAAGATCACATAGCAACAGAATATAAGTGACATGTTACAGTTGTAAGTAGGCTAGGGCTCAGTTAACATGCACGCACACATATTGAAAAATATTTTCAATTTGTTGGATCACTTGGAGTGCTGTTTATCAGGTGCTGGATAAATATAGAAATACTTACAGCAAAAAAGCAAAAAAGTAGAATCCACACTGTTTAAATGGTGAAACAATTGAGTGTTTTTAAATTATTTTTTTTCAGTTTTATCTAGTTTTTTTTTTATCATTTTAACAGGATAGCTTTTGGACTGTTGGCCAAACAAAACAAGCAATTTGTAAAGTTACCCTTGGAAATGTTGGTGATCATTTTTCACTCCACTTTTAAAAAAAATCCAAAAGGATTAATTGATTAGTCCAAGGGTCAGCAACCTTTTGTATCAAAAGATACATTTTTGGCAAAAAAAAAAAAAAAACCCAAACAAAGAAATCTGTCTGGAGCCGCAAAACACATTTGAGCCTTATCCTGCTAATTTCTCATGGCAGATCGAGCATATCAGTAAGGCAGCGGTGTTTGTGGTGAAAGCAAACACATCTGTCCACGCACTATTAAATTCTCTATTTTCTTTTATTTTTTTGGGGGGAGGATTTGGAATCCATAGCCAGCCTAGGGAGAGTCAACACTTGTAGCCACCGCTATTGAGGTTCAGCAAAATATAGAGGAAAAGGCGCCACATCATGACGTAACATACGAAGTACATTAGTTGACAAAATGTTTAAGCATTTATTTCATTCGGTGAGTAATGGCAACTAATTTTTACAATTGGTGAATGTAAGACTCTATTTTGGCCGACAACAATGATAAATACGATACTATTTGTGCTAGCAAGATAAACATATGAACCCTAACCCTAACTGCATTATATCATGAAAGGCAATCACTGAAATAATGATTTGCCTGCATGACACCACTACACAGATGCAGTTTTAACCTCTTGCTCTGCCTGAAATCACTCACAATGAAACAAATCATCAACCAACTGCTGGTACCGTGAACATCATGTCAGAGTTTGCTGTTTTTGTTTGGTTTGTGATGCTCTTTTCATGTCTTTTATTAAGAAAATATCAGCAAATTCTGATGCTGCACTTATTGGCAGTTTCTCTGGTAAATCTGTTGACTAAATGGCTAAAATATTCATGAAAACCTGCTGAAAACTATTTGTTTTGGATTAGAGAGAACAGAGAAAGAGGGGCAGAGGCACACGAAGCCAACAGCCCATCCCAGCCAAAGATCACATAGCAACAGAATATAAGTGACATGTGACAGTTTTAAGTAGGCTAGGGCTCAGTTAACATGCACGCATACGCACACACACACACAGCTGTGGTAATCCAGTCCAGTCCTGTTAATAGATATCGATGTCTTGTGCCCAGTGGAAAGCAAGTACACAAACATGTGTCATCCACATAGCTAACATTATGAGGTATTACATTTTATCTCTCTGTCTTTCTGTCTCTTCTGGTCTGTCTGCATTTGTTTCTCATCCTTTCTCTATCAACCCGTCTGACTCATTTTTCTTCTTTCATTTCTGTTTTTGCAAATATAATCTTACTCGTTCTGTATTAGTATGTGTATTTATGCTTGTTTGTGTATGTACATATATAAATGTGAGATTAGATCAGTGCATATATTAAGAACTTCAGGACTTTTTTTTGGGATTAATATACTTCAAAATAATGTGTACTGAAGCATGTACTTGTGAAAATGTGTTCAGAGAGTATCATAATGACACTTATCATTAATATGCATAGTTGAGTGGGTGTGGCTCCACGACCCCCAAACCAATCACAGAATTGACCTGTTGCCTGTAGATAATGTTAATGTGCACACAAACCCGGGGAGACAGACAGACTAAATCAAATACAGATTTGTACATAAATACTTCCACAGAGCTCTCTCACACACACAGTGTGCTGGTGGTCTCCATGCTGACGTATGTGTGTGTCAATTTGGGTGGTCAGCAATGGAAAGTGTCTAACTAACTACATGCCCATCATGCTTGGGATGTCTGCTTCTGCCCCTCCTGGCTCCATATCCGTCCTGAGAGTGTGTCTGTGAGTGCACGCACGTTGCATTTCTGCTTCATCTGTCAACCTATCTGTCATCTGTCTGCCGGTTTTCAACTTATTCTGCTACACTTATTGTAAGTCACTCTGGATAAGCGTATCAGCTACATGTCTCAAATGTCTCCCTTCTTGATAGCCACAGCCGTTTTGTCTGCTTCTCCTCTGCTGGAAAGCGTACCAACACGTCAAGACTGCCAGCTGCCCCGTCCGTCCATATGTCCCCCTCTCTCTCTTTTTAGACGTTTTATGGTTACAAGTCTGCCTGCCAGCTAATCTGGCTTGCTGTCCGTCTCGGAGCCTATATACCTGTGCTTATATCAGCAGATCAATCCGTCGATCAGCATTTGGCCCCACTGCCCCCATAATGTCATCAAGGCAGAGATAAGAGCAGCAGAGAGGTGACGTGGAGGTGAAGAAGGCAGGACATAGAGGGGAAAGGCAGAGATAAGATGGAAAGGAAGGAGGGGAGGGAAGGAGTAAGTGTGAATAGAGTAATGAGGGAGAGCTGCAGATGAAAAGAAGGACAAGGAGAGAGATAAAGAGGTGAAGAAGATACAATAAAAGGAGCATAGGCAGGAAGAAAAAATAAATCTGTAAAATGTACAGGTAATTAAGAGTCATCAGCAGCTGTTATCGATTACTTGTCATTTTTAGACAATTGTCTGTAACAAACCTGTAAAAAGAGAGAAAATGAGGAACAAGATGAGGATAAGAGGCAAGGAGCAGTGAGAGGCTGGTATTCCTTCCTTCACTTTAAACACAGATCAGACACTTAAGAAGAATGATTCAACCTCAGTACTAAAGCTTCATTTCAACTCTGTGATCTTTCTGTGGTTACAGTGACAAACTACTGAACTAGCTAGTAGGCTCTGACCAATTAATTCATGCTTCTTGGTTGGCCTGCTTAGATTTCTATGTGATCTCCAAACCTCTGTCACCACCAGTTGGTAAGTGGAAATCTACTGGCAACGAAGAGGGAAAACATATGGAAAATAGTGTCAATTTACTGGATCGCTTGGAGGGTTAAAGTTGTTTAACAGGTACTGAATAAATGTGGAAATATTTAAAGAAAAATTGCAATTTAATCAAATGTTATATCATTTTAACAGGATAGCTTTTGGACCGTTGGCCAGACAAAACAAGGAATTTGCAAAGTTACCCTTGGAAATGTTTCATTGTTTTCTTTTGCCTAATGGATTAATTGATTAGTCCAGGGGTCAGTAACCTTTTGTATCATAAGATATTTTTTCGGCAAAAGACAAACAAACAAAAAAACCTGTCTGGAGCCGCAAAACATATTTAAGCCTTATCCTGCTAATTTCTCATGGCAGATCAAGCATATCGGTAAGGCAGCAGCATTTGTGGTGAAAGCAAACAAATCTGTCCACGCACTAATAAATTCTCTATTTTCTTTTTTTTTTTTTTTGGGGGGGAGCAAAATATAGAGGAAAAGGCGCCAGATCATGACGTAACGTACAAATCACATTAGTTGACAAAATGTTAAAGCATTTATTTCATTCGGTGAGTAATGGCAACTCATTTTTAGATTAATTGGATAATGAAAATAATCATTAGTTGCAGTCTTAGAGTTACAATATCCGGAATGGGGTGGAAATCCAGTGGGACTCTTTAGGGAATTCACTGTAAATCCGGTGGCAAGTTTGGAATTTTCTCTCCAGGAACCCAGTCAGCACTGCACAGCAGCTGGGGATTATGGGGTAATGAGGATGGAACCCATTACTGGCATGCACACAGACACACACACACACACACACACACACACACAACACACACACACACACACTGCAAACCTTAGCTTAAATGCAGTGCTAGTTCCTAATCACCCCCTTCCAAACCCCACATACTCTGGAGGAGGCAAATTGGCACACAGCTGGAGAGGAGTTAAGACCAAATGAGGAGGCTGGTGGTCTGTGTTGCATGTATGTGTGTGTGAGAGAGAAAGACAGAAACAGATGTAATGAATGAGAACAGCTTCCTGGCACATGCAACAACTAGTTTAACATAATTGAGAGAGTAATCAAAGCGTTGAAAATTTAAGAATTGAATTGAAAACATTCCAAGCAAAACAGAAAAGCCATTCAGGGCTCAGTTTAAAGTGAAATTCAACTTATACCTGTTTAGGGAGGACTTCTCTAATATTGTTAGTTATGTGGATCCGAGTAAGGTTAGATATTTGAAAGGATAATTGGAAAAGAGATTTCTCTCCACGTCTGACAGTAATTGAGAGTAATGTGAGCCTTTCTAATTCCCTGGTATTTAAGAGATTTCTGATGGA